TTATGTTCAGCAGTGCAAGACAAATAAATTCTTTAAAAATCATACAATGTGATTTCCTGAATTTTTTTTTTTTAATTCTGTCTCTCAGAGTGGGAATGCACCTACAATGTGAATTTCAGACCCCTCCATGATTTCTAAGTGGGAGAACTTGCAAAATCGCAGGGTGTTCAAATACTTCTGTTCCTCACTGTACAAGAGGAGGAGGATACAGGCTGTGAAGAAGTAGTTTGTTTTATTTCATTGTCTTTCATTCCCACCACGTCTTTGGCTGCCTGTGTACAGTACACTGTAAGATGGGGACCATGGTAATCATTATGTTAGCATGCTAACATTAACATAGCTGTGTCTTGGTAGGGCTGTAGACTCTGGTCATTAGTGCAGTCATTACTCTGTTTCCTTCACTGTGCAACTCATTCACAGTTTCTTCAGTTAAGAATAGAGGCTTCATGTAGCATATTGTCTTTTTTTTCCTTTTCTTCCAGCTGATATTCATGTCGTATGCTTCATACGTTCACAGAACTCCCCCCACACGCTTTTAAAGCCAGAATAATTTACATGGGGCCGAACAGCCCTCAGTTCTGTATAACTAATAGTACAGTCCTCCACATTTGACAGTGTGATCGACTCTTCATGCCTAATTAGATTTTGAGGTAAGCTGGTTTAAATGAGTTGGTAATTTATTTCACCTTTTTCTTTAATTATGGGAAAAGTTGCATAAATTTTTTTTCTTAAAATATTAATGATCCTGGTTCAAAAGGGGCTCGAGAGCTGAAAGCAGCTGTAGACACAGTCTGACAGAAATAGTGTCACATTTTGAGAGTATTTTCATAGTTGTAGTAGTTTTGTCACAATGAATCATCTCTCTTCCTGTATGTCTCCTCCTCACCGTCTCACTCCACTGATCTGTGGGGAGGGCTGCAGAGGATATTATAAATGATTTACAGGATCACTGTCTGCTTGTCGTACTCCGTCTCATACTGAGACGCTCAGGGTCAGATTTACACATTCACTGGCTGGAAAATCCCTCAGCCCTCCCACCTCCCTCTCCCTCTTCCACCTTCATGTCCCGACTGTGTCTTGAAGTGTTTTTTATTAGGAGACTTGGCCTCTGTGGTGGATGTGTGTCTCCTGTGTAGTGCTAGGGGCTATGGTTAATATTGGCACCTCCAGTACTTCTCCAATTAGGTCTAACAGCTTTAGCTTAATGAGCTGTTAGGTTTCTTAAAAGACACTACTAAAATACAGATGTCATTAAAACATCAGTGATTTTCACTGTGTCTGTGAGGGCTTGTCATCACTGGATATTAAAGATGTCTCTGTGTCATTTGTTTTCTCTTCAGGTACATCGGAAAGTCAGATTCCATCACTATCAGTGTGTGGAATCACAAGAAGATCCACAAGAAGCAGGGGGCTGGGTTCCTGGGCTGTGTCCGCCTTCTGTCCAACGCTATCAACCGCTTGAAAGACACCGGCTGTAAGTGTCGCTGCCACTCAGTTCGACCATCTCGCTTATGTACAGTGGCATTGTTGCACAGTTTCCAGATATGTAGTTGTTATGTTTTGAACTCTCTACTGGTAACTAGTGGACTAGTTTTTATTTTTGTGTTCTGCCTTGAAACTCTTGAAATATTTAAGATTGAAGTAACTAAAGAGGCCACACTGATCACATTTATTTCCTATTACATTAGACTGGTTAGATAAGATTCGTGAACAGGATGTTTTAAAGGTATATTTCAAAAATTACCCACAGTAGCTCTACATACAGTGACTGAAGAAATCTGTTTTTTAAAGTAAATTGTTTGCCCATGTGCTTGAGTTGGATGGTTCCATTTATTTGTAAAAATAAACAAAAGGTATGTTTATATTCATTGTCCAAAAAGCATTGTGTGTTTTTGAGGTTTAAAAAGCAAAGCCAGCTTTATAAGTGACTGTTTACATCCATTGTTACTAGCATGCAGTCTTCTTCTTCATTGCCTTCATTTCAGCAGAGCTGCGTGAACCCTACGGCAGGATGCGAGTCGTGTCACAAGTGTTTACATGTGTCCTGTTGCACGTGCACAATACAAATAAAACAGGGTCCTGCTCATAAAGACTTTGCTTCATAGTACTACTGGTGGCCAAACACATTTGTCATTGGTTTTTTAGAAATAAGAACAGACACAAGTTTGTGTGTGTCAGTCTTTGGAGGCGGGCAGCTGTAACGCGCTGTCGATATCTGGACTGTTTTTTTTTTTTTTTTAGATTGGCTTATTCAGACATTAAACTATAGCACAGCTGCAGCAGAGATCTTGTCAAACTACTTGTGACTTGTGTGGTTTTGCATCTATTTATTTAGCTCATTACTCTTTTACCTTACTATTAGTAGAATGCTCTGATTGCCGCAGTGTTAATGGTAATGAAGCTGTATCCGTCAAGGCAGCCTTATACCTGTGGTGCGAGAAGAAGCAGACATTACAAACACAGCGCTGCTGTCAGAGCTGTAGACCAGCTCGTCTTGGAGTCCTGTCTCCCTCACTAGGTCTGACAGAGGCCAGGCCAGGGTGTGAGTGGGGTCAACACTCTGCTCCTGCCAAAACAGGAAGAGCCTAGTCAGCATCACCCTGCAATTACAGTAAAAACATCACCCACCAGAAGCTAAGTGGATCAATGACATGGGGGGCTTTGGTAAATGGCTCCTAGCAAAAAAGCAGTGCCATACAGTTGTAGCTTCACAGAGTGCTCTGAAGCTTTACCTGCAGCCCTGTAGGCAGAAATGAGAAGGAATCCCACTGCTTTTCCTGGAAGCCCCTGACACGCTTGTTTTCCTGGAGCGACACAGGAAAGCTGAACCTTGTGCCACAGCTGTGAATGGTTTGCCTCTGCATTTCCTTTTCTCTCCTGGCCTCCTCCTCACCCCTCAGTTCCTCCTTCAGTTTTCTCCATAGACTGGCAGCACTGGCACACACACACACACACACACACACACACACACACACACAATGCCTGCCTCTATCTCAGTCTGCCGATCTCGACAGCAGGTCATTTCACACAGACGTGCATAATCATGCAGCTATTTAAACCTAAGTGTAGATTGGTTATGTTCTCTCTGTTGTGGTTTTTCTCCCCCTCTGTGCATTTGTCATTCTTTTGTTTTTGTACCTTTACCAGCAGCTGCAGATGTGCCCCCTCCTCAGAGCGGGCACTGCAGGAACTACAGCATCTGTGTATAATTGTAGAGTCTCTGTGTCTTTGAGTATATGACTACGCAAGTATTTCAATGTATATATTTTTATTCTTCCTAATGCGTACGTGCACTTTTCTGTGTGCATTCTTGCTGTGCTTGTGTTTTCTGTTTGGCCTGTGGCTGCTGACCTCTGGTCAGGCTCCTAACAGTTGGACCGTCACCTGTTTTGGTCCCTGTTTTGGTCCCTGTTTAGTCTAGACACACATCCTGAGCTGATCTGCATAACACCCAGACAACAGAGAGCAGATAGTGGCATTTCTCATGTCTGCAGGCAACTGGGACTTTTTGTCTGTTTTTTCTTTCTGTCCGCCCGATCTCTCTCTTTCTCCCTCACTCTCAAATTCCACAGGCTTTAAGAAATTCAGACAAAGAGTTTCCAGACTTTGGCAGAAGTTCTTATCCATGCTAAGATTGAGCGGAATAGTGCAGGCTTTGTACTGAAATTTGTCAAATGTTTGACCTCTGCATTTGAACTGAAGCCTGCTCTGCACAGCCAAGCTGTGGTCTGCAGACAGAAGAATGAGACACAGATAATGGGGGAGAGAGAGACTGACTCTGAGTGACGTAAATGATAAGGAGCAATGGGACTTGTGCAAGGAGAGAAAAATAGATCCCAGCACATGCTAGTTTACATGAATTTCTCTGAGTCCTTTTTCTTTTTCCCCGCTTCTCTCTTTCATCTTTGCTCTTTGTCAGATTTTCTTCTTTCTCTCCTTCCTGCTTTGTACTTATGCACTCTCTCAATTTCTAACCAGACCAGAGACTAGACCTGAACAAGCTGAGCCCCAATGACAGCGACACAGTCAGAGGCCAGATAGTGGGTGAGTACAACAATGTCACTTTCAGTTAAAAATCAAGTGGAAGCCACATCAAATGAGATCAAACCCATGAGACAGTTGCTGCAGCATATTTCATGTCGTTCACTGTGTCATCAGATGTTTCCCTTCATTCCCTGTGCACTGAATATTCAGGCAGGGTGATATTCTGACCAGTTATGGGCAGCATTAAAGGCAAACGGCAAGAAGGCTAAAGGGAAGAGATTTGTTTTGACAATACCAGACCCTCCACGCAGAAGGAAAAATGAAGGACGGCGAGAAAAAGCAACTTCCTTTAACCCCAGTGTAGAAATGATAAAATGTAATCCTACTCCTGTTTGAATAAAATATCTGTGCATACACTGTGTCTGCTGTCTAGTAATCCATGTCCGTGCATCTGTCTGCCATGTGTTTCTGCAGTGAGCCTGCAGTCCAGGGACCGGATAGGCACAGGAGGCCCAGTGGTGGACTGCAGTCGGCTGTTTGACAATGATCTTCCAGATGGGTGAGTGAGTTCTGGGAAATGTCCTGTGATCTCAGGAGGAGTTTTATGTTGCAAATCCTAAACAGCAACTTCTGCCTCTAAGCACAGGGGTAGAGATATAGGGAATGTGATATTTGCACGTGGTGAGACAGCGCAGCGAACCTGACTACTACTAGATCGTTTCTGTGGCCGCTTAACCGTGTCCTCTAACTTCTGTGTCTGTCTATGCTGCTGTTGGCAGGTGGGAGGAGAGGAGGACTGCGTCTGGGCGAATCCAGTACTTGAACCACATCACACGCACCACACAGTGGGAGAGGCCTACCAGGTGAGTACACTCTGCAGCCCACAGAAACTCAAATGTAGATCTTGTAAATCAAACAGCAGCGGGCTGATGGAGGCTGACGTCTGACCTCAGTGCTCCCAAACTGGGCAACGAAGGTCTCAGACAGATTGTTCCAGACAGTGGTGCCTAGTGTTGTGGAAGAGTCAGGGAAGTCATGGAGGTGACGAGCAGAAACAGAGGCATCACTTCCCCCCATCTTTTGTACTTAGGTTCCCTTTTTACTGTTTTATCAGCCACTTTTCTGTTCATACCAAGCTTGACCTCAGGCAGCCTCAGTACTTTGTGTTTGCTGGTCTGGATTTCCTGTTTAGCTCATGCTGTGTGCTGATTTGCTGTCAGTAATGCTCCTTTTCATTCACCTTGTCTTTCTTACACTGACCCATTACCCCTCTCAGGCCTGCATCGGAGTACTCCAGCCCTGGCCGGCCTCTCAGCTGCATTGTGGATGAGAACACACCGGTCAGCACAAACGGGGCCACACCTACCACAGCATTGCCGTCTAGCGATGGTGATCAGCGGGCCCAGGAGAGACGAGTCCGATCCCAGAGGCACCGCAACTACATGAGCAGAACCCACCTGCACACGCCCCCAGACCTCCCAGAGGGATACGGTTAGTGGGAAAGCCTAAAATCACAATTGCACAGTGTATTGTTCTGTTTTGTGATCTGAATCACAAAGCACAACACCTACTGGAACTGAAACTCAAAATTATCCCCGTTCCCTTCAAAGAAGTTCACCAGGACTCGAGGATGAACTGATTAGATGTTGGTGGTCAAAGGTTAAGGTCACCGTATCCTCATGTCTGACCTGTTTCTGTGAATTTGGCTCCTTGGTGGAGGCATAGAACAGTGAAGCCATAAATCTAGTTTATTTAAAAGTCCCTGAAAAAGCAGTTGTTGCTGCTGTGTTCACCACTTTGCCTCTGGCCTCCTCCCTGCTCAACCCTGGGCTCAGTAACTTTGCTAATTTGTGTCTTCATTCAGTCCAGCACCGCTCTGATGATGCTGCAGCCTGAAATACTATCTAATTGAACTGATCTAGCTGTTAAAGGCTGGCGGCAGCCGTTCACTCCCTCCTCTGTTCTCCTTTCTGCACACAGTCGAGCAATCAGACGCAGTCATGTAAAAGCAAATGCACACACACAAGCAGCAATCCCCCACACAGCCCTGGAGAGCTCTGTTTATCTTCTGGAGGATTTGGGAGCCAGAGCCATGGAAGCATATCACAGCTTTGCCCTGAGTCCTTCAGATTAAGAGGCTCCTGGCCTTGCTATGCTTGTCTCTCTGTCTCTGTCCTAACATTCTTAATTTTTGGGCAGTTCCTATGAAACCTGTCATCAGCCCTGATGTATACATGATGAATAAGCTCACCAAGTCTGATGTCAGACAGCCCCATCTCTCCTGTCCTCTCCTCTCCAGTGCTCCTCACCCTGTCTGTCACCTCCCTCCTCCTCCTCCTCTTCCTGGCTGCCTTTTGGGATCCTCACTGATTCAGACAATCCTTTTGTCGTCATCTGTGTTGCATCTGTCTACATGCGGCACTACAGTTTAATTTTCCATATATTGTAAAACACTGACATATACCTGGCAGATTGTTCTGGTTTCTCCCTTTTAATGTGATTCACACTATTGTATAGCTGGGAATCTCAGAACCGTGCATTCATTCATTCTCTGTTTGTGTCTTCCTGCAGAGCAAAGGACTACACAGCAAGGCCAGGTGTACTTCCTCCACACTCAAACAGGTGTCAGCACATGGCACGATCCCAGAGTACCCAGGTACATCCACCACAGGAAAAGATGTGACAAAGGACAGACTCTCACCCAGCAGCCAGCAGGGCCTCGTTAGGGCCGCGTCAGGTCTCCTCTGTTGGAGGGGGAAACCTCCTCCTTCCAAACCAGATCCCCTCACTCCACCCAGCTGTGTATAAAACATAAGAATAATAAAATACATAAATGAGGAACTGGGGTGTACACGGATGCTTGAATCAGTCATCTTACCACCTGACACTGACATTACCTGTAGCTTGTGTCATGGGAGTCTCTTAGTCCTGGTCCCCCTGAGTCCGACATGCTGTGAGAAGACCCATGTCACAGGCTCTCAGAACTGTTCACTGAAGGCCTCACTCTGGACACATGGCCAACAGCGCACAGATCTCAATCAGCTCTTGGGCAATACTCACTCAGGCATGCACATGTGCAGAAACAAGATTCGGTGCTCCCCAGATGCCGTCAGTAAACCATGATTGATATCATAATACCTGGCCACTGCTCTCTTGCATTCTATCAGTATATGAGTGATAGACGATGGTTTTATTGCTCGATAGTAGGCTGTTGGTCACGCCACACCTTTGTGAGTGCTCACAGACTGCTCCAGCATTAGCAGATGACTCATCTGCCAAGCTCTCTTATCCCTCTGAAGCTCTGGTGCTTTTGGCTTTAGCCCTGCAAAACAGAGAAGGCCATGCCAGCATAGTGATGCTGCTGTAATTCTGAACCGTTTTGTCTCCATGGAGTCCAGCTGATAGGGGTTGGAGGGCAGCAGTAAATAATTTAGATGGGAGGAAGAAGAAAAAAGAATATAAGAAATCTCTCAGACATTTCTCAGCGTCCTGCTGTCGGCCCGGGTCCAGTTAGTCAGTACTTTGGTATGTTTAACGCCTAGAATTTGATGTTTTGTCTCTCTTTTCTCTTGTCCCACCCTCTGTTGCTTCTATTCTTAAATTCTCACATGCCAATGTTTTATTGTGCGTTATGTTCTCGTTTGTTTCACTTCAGAGATCTGAGTAACGTGAACTGTGAGGAACTGGGTCCTCTACCTCCAGGATGGGAGATACGGAACACAGCCACCGGGAGGGTTTACTTTGTCGACCACAACAACCGAACCACACAGTTCACAGACCCACGCCTCTCCGCCAACCTGCATCTAGTCCTAAAGTGAGAACTACAGCACCCTTGAGACAGAAATATGTGATGGTGAAATAATTTAGACAGTACATAAAAACAGGTTATTAAAGCAGAGAGATTTATTTTCTGCCTTCATTTTGTCTGTTTTGTGTCTAGTCCAAGTCCCAATGGTTCTCGAGGAGGTATCGAAAGTCAGAATGTCAGGTGAGGTTTGGGCTTCGTGCCACTGCACACAAACAAGCGCACACAGTCTCAGACATTCACAGACGTGCTTCGCCTCCCCCTCAGTCTGTGTTTTACCATGGGATCCAGTGCCAAGGTGTGTTCGCCACCTGTAG